ACTCCAGCTAGCCTTTATTAGCCATGAAGGAGTTTGAGCTTTCATACAAACGTAGTCTTTGCCCTCAGATCTAGCCACCAGGGAAATGACCTCCAGGCCTTCCAGTAGCGAGTCCTACAGAAAACAGTCAGTCTGCACAAAACCATTTGCTCAAGATTCTCAACTGAGGATTTGTAATGTAATTCTACTTATCTCAGAATTTTAATAAAATTAGAATCTCTAATTTTAAAAATAAATGCCGCCTGGCCAGTGTGGCTCAGTGGTTGAGCGTTGATCCATGCACCAAGAGTTTGCCAGTTCGATTCCCAGTCAGGGCACATGCCTGGGTTGTGGGCCAAATCCCCAGTGGGTGGCATGCAGAAGGCAGCCAATCAATGTTCTCTCTCATCTATGTCTCTTTCTCTCTAAAAATCAATAAAGTAAAAAAAAAAAAAATTGTTTAAAAATAAATGCTATCTGCCATACTTTGGAGGATTTTGGTGATGGGGGAAAGATAAGAATTTCCAACTTGGAAAAGTAGAATTAATCTTCGGAGTACTTTGATGCTAGCCTTGGGAGTTTTTATCAGGGAAGTTTTCTGCTCTATTACTAAGTTTCTGCCAGGCTTATATTTAACTAAAGGACTGTTTTCATTCAATCCCCAAAACAAAAGAATTGGAATTTTTCTATGGAAAGGTAGGGTCAAACAGAGATGAATTCTGTGAAGCAGTTGGAATCTAGCTAGAGAAAACAGGGAGGAAATAAAAGTTCCGCAGTGTTCACAGTTTATTATTCATTCTTTTTCGAAACACCTTCTCCCTTGACTTCAAGACCCACACACTCTTAACTTTCTCTTACCTCCCTGGCTGCACTTTCTCAGTCATCATTGCCAGGTCTTCCTCTTTCCAAGCCTGAAATGTTGGAGGGCCCCAGGCTCAGCCCCAGATGTCTTATCTCTCCACACATAGTAATCCTGTTCTCCCTACACAATAGTGCTGTTACCACCACATTCCTAGCTCTAGTCTCAGGCTTTTTCCTCAACTCCAGGCTTATCTAATAATCTGATTACTCTATATCTCCATCCAGTTTTCTGAAGTGTCTCAAACTTAACTGATCCAAAACCAAACCCTTGATTCCACCCCAAGATACTCTGCCCCTCTTGTGTTCTGTCCACTGTAGTAAATGGCATCACCATTTACCCAATTGCTCTGGCCCAAATCCTTGGTGTTGTGCCTGAGTCCTCTTTCTCTCAGACCCTGTATTCAAACCCCTAGCTTCAAAATACACCCAGAATCCAGTCACTCCTTGCCACCCTTCAGCTACCAGCCTTGTCCAGGCCATCCTTCTTTCTAGCCTGTCTTCTGCAGCAACCATCTAACTGGTCTCTCTGCTGAGTTCTTGCCTCTGTACTGTTCTCCATCCACCCAGCAGCTAGACAGTTCTAGTAAAAGTTAAGTCAGATCATGTCATTTCTCTGCTCCAAACCCTCCAATGGCTTCCTCTCACATTTAGAACAAAAGCCAAAATCTAATTTACATAACCCTCAAGACCTTGCCTGCTTCCTCCTCTTCGTTTCCCACCCACCCTTCCCCACCACATGCCTTATTCCAGTCAGATTAGAGGAGCCACTTTATAGTTCTCTGAGCCTGCCAGGTAAATTGCTACTTGCAGGGTTTTTTGCATTTGCTGTACCCTCTGCCGTTAAGGCTCTTCCCACATGACTTACATGGTTTGCTTCCTCCCTTCATCCACATCTCTGCTCAAACATCTCTCCAGAAACACCCCACCATTCAATCTCCATCTCTTTATTTACTCCATTTTTCCTTCAAGCCCTTCTCACTATGTGATGTTAATTTTGATTGGTTTATTGTGAACATGCCTGCCATTAACATGTAAGCTTTGTGAATGCAGTTTTCAACACTGTAGACACAGTGCTGTGAACTGTGTAAGGCACATAGTAAGTATTGAATATATATTTGTTGAATGAATTAATGACTAATACCCTAGAGATTAGATCTTGGTATTCTTGCTCGTTAGATCTTGCTCATTCTCTTTCACTGAATACATAAATATACAGCTAGCCATGTGATGTTTTGTTTTTTATCGGTTTAAGCTACTCCTTGCCTATCTATCCAAAGCTTATGTCAATTTCGTTGCAGTAAGGAAGGCAGGGTCCTTACTACCTAGTACTACATCTCATATTCTGATGAAATCAAGATATACACACATCTGTAATCTAGACTACTTAAGTTTGTTTTTCTTGCCCCTTTTCACAAATGACATGCACTGGGCAAGTCTGTTCAAAAAAATAATCATACAATCTTGTACATTGCCTCAGTTTCCCTAGTAACAAGAACAAGATTGGGTCTGGGAGAAACAGACTAAAGCAAACAAGCCTGTACTTTCCCATTCCCTGTCTCAGATGCCACCTCATCCCCATTCATGAGGACTGACACATGTGTGGATGGCTGCCACATTCTTTTGTGTTACAAATCAAGTCATCTGAGCCTCTGGGAACACTGACCAGACAACACAGGTTGTTGTCTATTGCTAAGACCTGCATTTCTGGCTCCTGAGCCACTCCTCAACCACTCATAGGAGAAAAAGATAGAATAACACATAGCAATTAAAATCCTAGTAATTGGCAAAGATTGGCTTGACATTCTTAGAGTTGTCTAGTCTAGTGGTTCTCAAACCTGATTAGTTAACAGAATCACCTGGGCAGCTTTATAGATATACATGTTCCTCGGTCTCTCTCTAACCTTGTGTCTGGGAAAGGGCTCTGTATGTAGTATACACACCCATACACACAGTCTCACTCTCCCCCAACTCTTTCTCTCTCTAGAAGGTCATATATAATCCTATGAAGCAAGCAAACTAAGGGCAGAAAAAAAATAGGAGTGGAGATGTTGGGGCAGGATTTTCTGAGGAGTTAACATTTAGTGTGCCATGGCAACTATTAGGGGAGTAACATTTCGGGCAGATCATAGTGTGGAGTGTTGACAGAATTAAAAGCATACCAGTGTGGCTGGAGCACAGAGAGTGACTAGGGGAAGAGCTTGGGGTGTGGTGGGAGGGAGTGCCCAGGGCCGGGCCACATCACAGAAGCTTTGCAGACAAGGTTGAAGGGTTTGGGTTTTATTCCCAGTACTCATGTCTTCCTGAGAACTTTGAGCATTGTATGGAGAACAGATTGCAGAACCCAAAAGTAGAAGCTGTGAGACCTGAACAAGGCTGTACTGTCCTCTGATAGTGAATGGGGACTAAAGTAGTGGCACCCAAGATGGAGAGGAGAGGATGGCTTCAGGGCATATAGTTTAGGAAAGTCAACAGGATTTGCTGATGAGTGGGAAGTGGGGTGAGGGAGGTGATGCTGAGGGGGTTCTAGTAGAGACAGTATAGGGTGTGGCTCAGTGCTCCAGTTGCATCTGTAAAATTAAGGGACCTCCCCGCTGTGTTGGTGGTGAGTTGATATTTGTAAAGCACTTAGAACAGAGCTTGGCACGCAGTAAAACTCTCTGTAAGCGTTAGTGGTGATATGGATGATGGTGATTCGTCCAAGGTTGCACAGCTGGTCAGTAGCAGGTCCAGGACAAGAAGCCAGGACTTAGTTTCTTGCTTCATTGTGTTTTATGCTCCACTGAGCTGCCTCCTTCAATTACCTTTGAACTGTTTTATTTTTGCAGACTCTGGAAGAGGGTTTGGTTGTTGTGGTACATGAAGAGTCACACATCGTAACATATGAGTGTCGCACCAAACACAATAAACTACTCGAGTGTCCTGTGCAGCCCAGAATTCCAGATTATTTTGGCTGTTCATAAAACCATGCTAATTCCAGACAAAACATAGGGCCCAGACAGTGGGAGAAAGGGGGTACAGGAAGAGAGACTTTTAAAAAGAAATATCTCCTGGAATATAGATACTCTCATGTTGTACACATGCATGGGCTGGAGTAGACACATGCACTGCAACAGGAGTCCTTCCCACCGGAAGTTGTAGGTCAGTGCATGCCAGGGGAAGGGAAGAAATAAAGCACAGAATGTTAGTGTAACTCCCCCAAACTGTCAGGTTCCTAGTGATACATCTTAAAGAAGTGTTTGAAGTGCTCCTATCTGTCAGTTTCAACTAAGCTAATTTTTAAAAATTGCTCTTTGTACTGTGCCTTTCTCATGAACCTCTGTGAATTTAATGCATGCAATATGTGGGGGAAATCCTATTAGCCTCAGTTCCCATCCTCTCCCCCCGCCCCCCCGAGTCTGAGAAGCAGATTTTATTTAGAAGCACATTGTTGCACCTGCAAGGATTTTGTCATTTTACAAAATGGACCTGAGACCATGTTCAGTGTGTCTTGTAGGAAGGAATTTGAGAAACAGGTGAGAGAAAATGCCAACTCGGGCCTTTCTCCCTGCTGTTGACTGTTTTGTTGCACTTCTGTCTCAAACAGCATGGGAAGGACTGTTCTTCATTACCAGGGAATGTGAGTCATTCCCAGACTTGTGTGATTGGGATTCCAAAGCATTGCTGTATCCGATGGTCTTATTAAATCCAAGTGTCAGTGCAGCCTTTCAGACTGTAGGGGAGAGCTCAGTTACAGCTGGTGACCTGGTTCTAGTTACCACACAAAGACACTGGCAAGAGCAGTGACCTCCTCTGAGCACCCAGAATTCCTCATGGATGGCTGTTACCGACTGTTCTCAGATTTGGGGGTTTCCTGGTTCACTTCATGGGCTTCAATACATTTCAACTCCCTGTTTATATCTTAGTTAGAATCTGTGTACTTTAAGGGAAAATGTTCTAGTGTATGTGGACAAACTAGTGCCAAGATTAGCCCCGTATTTGGAGGGTACCTCAATTCAGATTTATTCAGCCCTAGCAATGTTAATTTTTCTGTGTCCAGGATATAGCAAGACCCTATCCATTTCCAGCTTGGTCCAAATAAAACAAATAAAATATCAACCAGAGAGGAGGAGACCATAGATGTTGCCAAAAAATTAGTTTGGTCTGTCTTTTCTTTCTCCTAGAATGTTTCACAGCCAACGGCGCAGATTATAGGGGAGCGCAGAACTGGACAGCACTACAAGGCGGGAAGCCATGTCTATTCTGGAACGAGACTTTCCAGCATCCATACAACACTCTGAAATACCCCAATGGGGAGGGGGGCCTGGGTGAGCATAACTACTGCAGGTAAGATGGGGCTGCACTGTACTTAAAAAAAAAAAAAAGCTCTGGTTTCCTCTTCCAACCTTTCCCAAGCTTGGTTACAAGTAGGGAAGGCAACTTTGTCTACTTTTGACCAACTCAGAAGGCCTTTCTTGTTACTAATTTTTAAATATTTCACACCCTGTGTATGTGGGGGGGGGGGGGGTGCACAACTACACACACAGTCTACCACTCTTTTCAACTTGGGTTGCTCTGATACTGGTTTCCAGAGCTCTGCTTTCCTGTCTGGTCACTTACATGTTTCTTGGAAGGGTTTTCTTAGTTGGCCCTTCCACTAGTGGGCAATCACAGACACAAAGCTTCTTAAGCTGCTGTGACTGTATCGGTCAAGCACAAGCACTGTTTGTGGCCCAAACCTCCCTATGCTTCTGAGCAAAAAAAGGCACCCTGCATTATCCCACTTTCTGCCAGCCCAGGATAACTTTTCTCTAGGAGCAGCAGCAACATCGAATTTGTGCTGTTTCCTTCCTTCCAATAGACAGGTGTTTCTTTGCTCTTTGCCTGTCTGACTCTAGCAGGGACTCTTAACTTGAGATCCATGGTACTTCAAATGTGTACTGGCAATTTTCTGGGGAGATGATCTATGACTTTGATCAGATTCTCAGTTATTAGTGATCCAAAACAAGTAAAGAATTACTGGTCTGTAGGGACCAGAGCAAAAATTCTAAGCACTTTTGGTTATAGCTTTGTTTTAGCTATTTATACCCAAGATCCCGGTAATGTGACTCATGGTTCAACAATGTGTTGAATTTAATTATTATTAGGACAGGTGCAGAGGCAGCCTCTTGAGCCACTGGGACAGGGAATAATGATTCCTAAGCTATACTTCATGCTACACACAGTTTCCCTGGTTCCACCAGTATGTTGGAATCTCAACCGTGGCATGTTGACCCAGCTGAGCCAACATATTTATACCTGCATTACATAGGCCACACTGTTTACCTTTTGCCCTCTCTATGTATTTTTGTTAACACTCTAGGACCTTTGTGGTTGTCTCGAAGTCACCAGGTCTGTAGTCCATGTTCATTATCCCTGTGTGTTCAGCTCTTTCCTTCACCTCTGTCCTAATTTGTACCAACTGGCCATTTCCCCATAGTTGTGTTACATTATTTGCTGGTTTGTTACTATAAAAGTATTAAAAAGTTTTCCAAAAAAATTCTCAAAAACTGCAGACATATATTGTGTAAATAAAGTCCTCCAGTTTACCTCTTTCCCTGCAAATCCGCCCTGCCAAGCCTCACTTCCCAGAGATAACAATTTGCATTTATGCTACTTTACATTTTGCTCTCTTTTATATTTTATTGTTAAAAGTTACACATGCTCACTAAGTAATTCTTTATCAATTCATTTTCAAAGCTGTACATGCTCATTACAATTTTTTTGCATAATTAAAAATTATGCAAAAATCAACCCACTCCATTTCTGGTTTATTTCCTTCCTCTAGTGTTTCTATTCATAGGAATAGTTGGGTTAGGAAGAGTGTTTAGGAAGAGAAGTCAGTGTTTGTTTTTTGTTTTTACAGTGTAAAATTTATGTAGTTACTTATATTCTTGTTCCAAAGTATCTCTTGGTAGTGAGCCACTGGTTTGTTCTATTATTCTGTTGCTTTTTATCAAGCAAGTCTTTAAAGAAGAGCTCCTGTTTTTAAATCTGACATGAAGATAAATTTGAAATTTCCAATGAGGTTTAATTTATATTTTTTTAAAATCTTTTCTCATGGATTAGTACCCTGTTCTCTCCATATGCTCCCAGAAACTCACTAGTAAATGTTCATTAAGAAAGTAAGAGCCAGGGCCAGCAATCTTTCTCCTTAGCCCAGCTGGGTGCAGCCCTCCCCTGCATTGAATTGATGGAATGTACCAGACCTGATCTCCCAGTTTATACTTCAAAAAAGAGAGGCTGAAATTGTTGATTGTTATCAAATCAGAGAGTCTGGGCCTTTTGTTTTTAGCACTGCACTGAATTCAAAGATGAATTTGCTTGTTCTTTATTAGGCTATTCTGATGCTTTTCAGAATGGTTTTGACATTGATAACCAACAGTTGTTTTCTAAGGTCTTTACCAAATACTACATCAAAGCTGAACACTGAATAGAGGGAGGAAAACGACAGTGAAATACTGTTTAAAGAAGGGCTTTGTACAAGTTCTCCTGCTTTGATTTCTCAGCTGACATCCGACACTGTTTGTCTTGTGTGATGTTTCCAGATCCATCACAGTTGAGATGTCTGAGAGATGGCGAGTGATGGGAACGCACTTTTCTGGGCTCGACATATCTGGATTAGAGGGAAGACAGAGAGACGGGGAAGAGCAGAATTGGCGCTGGCACCTGCCTTTGGGCACAAAAAATAAAAGAACCTTTTGTGCTTTAGGGCAGCTTATCTTCTGGGGCACACAATAGACTTATCCCTCTCCAGCCTGATAGGGGTTGCTCCAAAGCTCCGGCTGCTGGGTCTTTATGCCCATTTCCGGCCTAACCAGAGTGTCAGGTTTCCAGTGTTCTGAGTCTAAATAAAGGGAGCTTGGAAAGCAGTGAAGAGAGGCAAGGCTTTTCTGTGTGTCCAGTAACCCCTGCCCTTTTTTGTTCTGTTTTTGTGGTGTTGCCTGTTATTGTCATGGCATCTCTGAGTTGAAAAGACCTTAAAGGGCATTTATTCCAGGCCATTCATTTAGAAATGTGAAATTAATATTTAAAAAATATTATTACCATATCAGAGGTTGGTACCAGGATTACAGGATGGTAATTTCTGATTGAAGCCCTTTGGCCTAGTTTTCTTCAGAATTCTTTGAGAGTTCATATTTTGAGGTAGGAATAGAATGCATTTTTTTTCTTTTTTATTGAATTTATTGGGGTGACATTGGTTAATAAAATTATATAGATTTCAGGGGTTCAGTTCTATAATACATCATCTGTATATTGTATTGTGTTCACCACCCCAAGGACCCATTTCTATGACCAGCCTGATCCTGGTGCGTGCTTGTCAGTGGAGTCTATGTTATGTAAATTTTCCATATTAAAAAATGTGTCTCTACACCACAATTTAACTAGCTGCCTAGCATTCCTTTATATGGCTATAACATATTTATTTAACCAATCCTTAATTGGTGTTTCGAACTTTCTTTGTATGATAAAAATGCTGTGGTGACATCTTTTTTTTTTTTTATCCTCACCCGAGGACATTCCTCCATTTTTTTGTTCAGACAGAGTGGGAGGGAGAGAGTGAGAGAGAAACATCGATGTGAAAGGGACACATCGAGTGACTGCCTCCCGCACCACCAACCAGGGCCGGGGACAAACTGCAACCGAGGTACATGCCCTTAGCGGGAACCAAACCCAGGTCTCTCTGGACCGCAGGCTGACGCTCTAACCGCTGAGCCAAACTGGCCAGGGCTGTGGTGACATCTCTGTAAGTAAATATTTCTTTAGAATAAATACTAAAGGGGAAATTGCCAAGTAAAGGAGGTTTGCATATTTTTAAGGCCTTTGACGCTAAGTATCAAATTGCCATCCTGATTATTTGCGTCACTCACATTCTTACCCACAGTGTTGAAAGAGCACCTGTGCTCTCAGCCATGGGAATTGCCGTGTTCACACATAAGGTGCCAGTGCTGTTTGTCATGATTTGTTCAGTGGTCATTTGTCCCGGTTACACTGTAGTGAATTTGTGTAAACGTATATCATCTTTGCTCACTATCAACCCCTCTTGCCCCCATACTCTGACATGTATGTTGGAGGAGAAAGGTTATTACCAATTTTTTCTTCATAAGAGATGGCATTGAGGTACATACCAATTATGAAAAATAACAGAAGTATCCCTTTTTGGTAAAACTGAAAAGCATTCCATTTTGGTAAAACTGCAAAGCAAGGAGCCAGTTGACTTAAAATGATGGAAATGTTACTGGTGTGTCTTTTTCCCCAACAGAAACCCAGATGGAGATGTGAGCCCCTGGTGCTATGTGGCAGAGCATGAGGACGGTGTCTACTGGAAGTACTGTGACATACCTGCTTGCCAGAGTAAGATCCTAACATATCCTTTCCAGGTTTCAGGACTTTGAACGCTAAGAGTGCAGAGTAGAAGGCCGCTGCCTGAGGGCAGGTAGTTCAGGCAGGTGGATTTCACAAAGCAGCTGAAGGGAGAAGCCTTCCTGGCCGAAGGATTTTCACTTCTCTAGTTGAGGCTTTTCAGAAATGGGAATGCCTGGTTCCCTCAGGATCCCATTTCCTTAATGGATAAGCTCAACCAGAATTTCTGCTTCTACTCAATTTCCTCATGCTTATTCCTGCATGGATAGACATGGCAGCAGTACTCAGTAGCAAGCCAGAGAAAGTACCTTGGACTTTTGTGACTGAATTTCTTTTAGAATGAATGAAGACAGTAAAACTAAGTTATGACACTGCTTATTATTTGGATTTAATGTGCTATGTCCCCTGAAAAAAATGATATTCAGTAAATATCTAATCAGATACCCTCCAAAGCCAATGTGATAGTCCTTTTCCTCACTTTAGCATAAAGAGGTTCTTTTTTTAATTTTTTATTCCTCATCCAAGGATATTTTTCTTCTTATTATCAGATAGAGTGGGAGGGAGGGAGAGAGAGACAGAGAGAAACATTGATGTGATAGAGCCACATTGACTGGTTGCCTCCTGCATGACCCAACCAGGGCTGGGGACGAACTGCGACCGAGGTATGTGCCCTTGACCAGAACTGAACCCGCAACTCATTGGTCTGCTAGCCGATGCTCTAACTCCTGAGCCAAATTGGCCAGGATGGTTCTGTTTTTTTTTTTTTGTTTGTTTGTTTTGTTTTGTTTTATCCTCACCCGAGGACATTTTTCCATTCTTTGCTCAGATAGAGTGGGAGGGAGAGAGAGGAAGGGAGAGAGAGAGAGAAACATCGATGTGAAGGGACACATCGAGTGGCTGCCACCCGCACGACCGACCAGGTCCAGGGACAAACTGCAACCGAAGTACGTGCCCTTAGCGGGAACCGAACCTGGGTCTCTCAGGACCGCAGGCCGACGCTCCAACCGCTGAGCCAAACCGGCCAGGGCTTGTTTGTTTGTTTTTAATGAAAACTTACAACTTGTCCTTTTCTACTATCCTACCCCCACTTCCAACAAACAAACAAAAAATGGTTTCTTTAGTGTTTTACTACAAAGCCTGTTTTCTAACAGTTTTGCTCATTCATTCCTATAGTCAGTGTTTATGATATGCAAGATACAAAGGCAGGAAGATACCCTGACCTTCAGGCAATGTACGATGTGGCAGAGAATCTTAGAAAGATACTTTAAAACAAGGTATAAAATATTGTGGGAAGATTTAAAGTACAGAAACCAAAACTAAACATGGTACTATAAGGAGATTACGAATGTAGTGTTTGTATACCTTTTTAAATATGCCAAAGGGACAGGTTTTCTCATTTCCTAGAGCTGAAGAACAGGACAGCTCATTCATAGTAATTCCACCTGGGTTCTTTTTCCTTGTTATTTAAACCTGTTCTTTGCCCTGCCTCTTTCTTCATTCCTCAGGTCAGGAGCCTGTGTATGTAGAGTGATTTGGTGGTTTGCACGGAACCTGGGACCCTCTCATTCACTCCCATTGCAGCAGTCCAGATTCTGATGCCTCAAGGGGAAAGGGCAGCCCCCAGACTGGTGTTGCAAGCCCAGGACTCACATTCCTTACGTTAAACTTCCAAATGTCACCCCTGCCTGGCAGTCAGGCCCTAGCTTCACTATCCTTTTATCCTGAGTATGTCTTGATTTAGTCCCAGAATTGAGAAAACAGTAAAGACCAGAAGAAAGAGCTTTTGCCCAGTCTGCTTAATCATATTTTTTAAATGAAAAACATCTCATTTGGCCTAGTTATGTAAAGAAGAAAGGGACAGGGGGAAAGGAAAGCAGATTTTCCTCGGTCCATTTGTTCGACACAAAGATAGTCTTTTAGTACCAGCCTATGTCATTCTCTCAGGAATGGCAAAGAGGGGATTTTAATCTAGGCACTTTTATTTACAAAGATAATCCTCAACTTGCATTTATAAAATATAATTTGGGCCAATGAGAGCTGGCTCAATATGGTCACTGAAACTAAGTTTAGAAGAGTGAATTAGAGCAAAAATGGTACAAGCCACTTAATAACCCTCTAATTCATAATATTTGTTGGATGTGCCTTGCTGTTCCAAAAGAGGAAAATTTAATATCACTTCCTTTTTTTATGGCCCTTTGGTAAACCCTCTCAAAACTTCTAAAGCTGTCCTTGAAATGGTCTGGGTAGGGAGACTTACAGAAGTTGGGAATAAGAACTGGGGAATACCTAGTTTGAGGGGGTGGGGAGTGACTGGCTTTGGTTCTTTAGAAAAGCTTATGTTCACCCTGTGGGCCCTAGGGCTCCCTACCAAGCTGAGCCTCAAACCTTTAGTCTGGCAGAACATTTTACATCTAGTGTGCCTGATTAACATAGTTGAGAAAAACTCCTGTGATATTTGCAGCAAGAGACCTTGGTAATTGCCTGGTGAGCGCTACCGAGATACAGCCTGCCTATTTTAGTCCAGTTTTGCCCTATTTCTGGATGTGGAATCATAATTTTCATGAATAATACTAACCCTCTGTGTGAAGCCTGCTATTCATGATTAGCAATGAACTTGTCATACAGGAAAAGTCCTGTGACATGATCAGACTCCTGGAAAGTTCATATCTGAATATAACAGACCCAGCAGGAGCCAGGGGGAGTGAATATTTAGGGACAAAGCAGAATGTGGTTGAATGGTGGGCCATTGTGTGAAGACCGGAATTTCTGCCCCTTGGCGTGTTACGTAGAGAGCTAAAACAAGCTGGGAGGCAGAGATGAAGAATGACTCAAAAGGGGGCCCAGAGAAATCTGAACTGTGCTCTTGACCTACAGAGCATGGATCAGAACTTACTGTTTAAAAGAGAACATTCTGAGGTAATTGGATTATCTCTTCCAACCGTTTCTGCCGGTGTGTTTCTTAGAAACCCCAAATATTCAGTGCAGGAAAAAGAAATACACATTTTAAAAATCAAATTCCAACATCATCAAATTTATCATCTCTCTAGATTCCACTCTAAATCTGTAAGTCCTACTGGTTTGAATATTGGGGGGGAAATTATTCGGCTTAAAATCTCTCTCTCTTTTTTTTTATCCTCACCTGAGGACATTTTTCCATTTTTTGTTCAAATAGAGTGGGGGAGAGAGAGAGAGAAACATCGACGTGAAAGGGACACCTCAAGTGGCTGCCACCCGCACGACCCAACCGGGGCCGGGGACAAACTGCAACTAAGGTACATGCCTCTAGTGGGAACCGAACCCGGGTTACTCTGGATCACAGGCCGACGCTCTAACCATTGAGCCAAAGTGGCCAGGGCCATTTGGCTTAAAATCTATCCCTTCCTGCCCTGGCCGGTTTGGCTCAGCAGTTAGAGCATCGGCCTGCGGTCCAGAGAGTCCCAGGTTCGGTTCCCACTAAGGGCCCGTACCTCGGTTGCAGTTTGTCCCCGGCCCTGGTTGGTCATGTGGGTGTCAACCACTCGATGTGTCCCTTTCACATTGATGTTTCTCTCTCTCTCTCTCTCTCTCTCTCTTCCTCTCTCTCCCTCCCACTTTATCTGAACAAAAATGGAAAAATGTCCTCGGGTGAGGATTTAACAGAAAATCTATCCCTTGCTTATCTCTGTTTTGTAAAAAACCATCCTCACCATTCTAATTCTCATTTATTTCACTGCTTTTGAGGGACATGCTTGTCTGGACCACAGCATTACTTTTGCTTTGCTTTATTTTACCTATGCATTCTTTATAACAGTAGTTTTTTTAAGTAAGTAATCTAGTTGTGAGGTGGGGTAGGAAGCTGCAAATGGCATTTAAGGCTAATATAATTTTCTTTACACACAGCTGATTTGGGCCACAGGCGTGAGAAACTTACCTTTTTTTGTTTGCTATAAAACATTCATCTAATTTCTACCAACCCAACTATAAAAATTCATCTTTGAAGTAATTAGCGACATTTGAATACAGATTATATTAAGGAATCACTGTTAGTTTTATTAGGTACAATAAACTTCTTTCAAATTATAGATATATCCTGAAATATTTGTGGTTGAAATAAAATTGTATCTGGGATTTGTTTTAAAACAGTCCAGCCTCCCAAAAAATGAGTGGGTGGGTTGAGGGAAATAGATGAAATAAGAATGTTTTTTTGTTTTTTTAAAGTGACCATTTAGCCCTACTGGTGTGGCTCAGTGGTTTAGCATCGACCCATGCATCAAGAGGTTGCCAGTTTGATTCCTGGTCAGGGCACATGCCCGGGTTGTGGGCTCGATCCCCAGTGGGGGGCATGCAGGCAATCAATGTTCTCTCTTATCAATGTTTTTATTTCTCTCTGCCTTTCCCTTCCTCTCTCTCTAAAATCAATAAAAATAATTTTTTTTTTTTTTAAAGTGACCATTTATGCACAAAAGATTGCTGTTTGACTCCTCATCAGGGCACACCCTGGGTTGTAGCTCAATCCCCAGTAGGAGGCATGCAGGAGGCAGCGAATCAATGTTGCTCCCTCACAGTATTTCCCTCCCTCTCCCTTCCTCTCTCTCTAAAAATCAATTTTTTAAAAATCTGAGAATCAAAAAAAAAGGTAGACATTTGTTGATGCGGGGTGATGGGCTCATTGTTCCTTCCTACTTTTGTGTATATTTGAAAGTTTCCATTGCAAAATATAAATTTTATAATATTTTAAAATTTTATATTTCAAATATTAAAATATTAAATGCTTACATACAACATTCAAAGTATCTGGATTCAAATGTGTAACAAGTAATTAAATTGTAATATTTTAACATGTAGCTCACAAGTAGCTGGGTTAGTTATTAAAATTAGTGATTACAGTTTTTGTTATTAAACTTAATAAAACTATTAGTTATTGTTTAAAGTTACTAAAACTGTTATTTAACTTAGTTATTATGAAAGTTAAAGGTAGTTATTTAAAGGTAGTTACTAAAGTTTAAAATCAC